AATAAAAAATTATTGATACAATCATTTTAATAAATTAAATAATTTATAATTAATTTTATAAAGGTGAATAAATTACAAATAATTTTATAAATGTAATAAATTAAACTATTTATAAAATTATTTATATCAATAATAGTAAATTACATATATTTTAATAATGGACACACGAATTCAACATGCTTATAAACCGGAAAAAAGTTACAATAATTTTATAAACAGGAATAAGTTAATATCATTTTATATAAATTAATGGTATAATATAATGTATTAAATATTTATATAACACTTTATTAAATAAATTTATTTCATGAAATTAATTTTATATAATATCATTAATATTTAATTATTGAAAATTCGCAATAAACTGAAAAATATTTATTACAAATCGAATATAATAAAACATAAGAAATAAATACATAATTTTGAAATGTTATATATGATTCATTGTAATAATAAATATTAAATTATTATTTAATATTATAATAAATTTTCCGATATTCTTAGATTTAATTTATTCTTTTTCCCGTATATAATAATAATATTATATTATTATTTAATATTATAATTTTTGATTGACAATAATAAATTCATTTTAATTAGTTAGACATTAAGATAATAAATTTAATATATATCACTAATACACGATATTTATTTATAAATATAATTAACTAAGAGACACATATTTATCACTGTTGAATAAATAAATTTAAGATGATATGGTAAATATTTATTTTTACAATTATTTTTATAAACTTAAATAACTTACAAATATTTTTATAAACGAACAAAATTCAAATATTAATGTAATTGTTTTTAACATGAATAAGTTAAAATGTTTTTATAAATTGTCACACGGGTTAAAGACACTTATAAACGAGAAAAAGTCTACATATTAATATAATTAATTTTACAAACTAAAAATAAATTATAATAATTTTTATAAACATGAATAAATTATAAATATTTTTATAAACCGGAAAAATTCAAGTATTGATACAATTATATTTATAAAAGAGTATAAGTTTCATATATTTTTATAAATAGACATACGCGTTCATTTTTATAAACGAGAATAATTTAAAATTATTTTTATAAATGAGAAATTCAAATTTGATAAATGATTATATATTGTAATTATATTAATATTAACCAACTGAGTACATGAAATAAATTCACGGGTAGAATAAATGTATCTATGACATACCAGATAATTGAAGTTAAAGAATTGAATGTACTATTTTAAATGACAATTAAGTTATATTTTTAAATACAAATTAGAAAATAAATTCATCTAAAATAAATTTCATTCATTAAATAAATATAGAAAATAATATACAATAGTTTTATCTAGAAATTTTATTTATTTTTTATGTTCTTTTTAAAAATAATTGTAATTTAACGGGAAATTGTTATACATTATAGGTTGTAAAAAAAATATGTAAATATGATATAATATAAAAGTTTTAAAACTGAAATTTGACGGGAGATGTCATACATTTTTAATTTGAAAAAATGGATTAATATATAAAATATGTTTAATAAATTTTTAAAATTAATTCATTTGGATTCAACTGAAGTTCGTTAACTCACGTAGATGTGAGCACATATAATATAAAAGTATAAATTTGACGGGATTGTCATATATTTTAGGTTTGGAAAAATGAGTTGATATCTAAAATAGATTTAATAAATTTTTAGAACTAATTCATTTGGATTCAACTGGGTTTGTTAAATCATCTTAATTCACGGGTAGATGAGAACGCATCTATGAGATACTGACTATAGATTGTTAATTTTAATATTCATCTTTTAAATCTTATATAATTGAAGTTAGTGAATAGTCTGTATCATTTATTATAAATACATATTAATGCTTAAAAAACAAGTGCATATTATTAGTCTATATTTATTAGTCATGTCTGTAAAGAACATAGATAACATCTTTTACATCCCTCGAATGTCTATGTCATATTTTGAGTCACCGTGACCATTTAAGTTGATTAGGAGAAAATTCTCAATTATTGTCTCTAACGCAATGACAATTAATAAATCCCAAGGCCAATCACTTGATACCATTGAATTGTATTTGCCTACTCCTGTTTTTAGTAATGGACAATTGTTAGTAATGGACAATTGTGTGTAGCCATTTCAAGAGTTACAAGCAAAAGTTGTCTTAAAATCTTAATACATGATAATGAGAATGTATCATCTTCTATCACTACAAATGTTGTATACAATGAAGTTTTTCAATTGCTTTGTTAATGGGTAAGTACACGACAACACAAATGTTTTTGTTTATAAATTATTTGCATATTTGGTGTCTGATTTTTTCACAAATTATCATGCAGACTAATGAGTTGAAAACATCAATGGAAAGCAGGTTGCTTCATATCTAAAGTTCAAATACGATATTGTTATCATTAATGTTATCGATGGAAAGCAAATTAATTTGATACACTAATTTTTTTTCTAATTGATTGAACTTTGGTTAAATCATTTTAATATTTTAAATTTGAATAATATATACGAAGGATCTATTACAATTCAAAGTTAGTTCTATATTATATGAAATTCGGACAGGACCCATATGATACCACGGATTTTTTAATAGTTGTATATCTAAAAACAAAACCATTGAACGAGCCCGCTCTCCTTAAAACAAAATTACAAAAAACGTCTAAGGACATATGAAAACAAAACCACTGCTCTTATTCCATCTGAGTTGTGCACAGACCCGCCGCCATCTTACACGTACTCTAATCCTCCGCTTTGCGTGCAGATCCGCGGAGACGCCGCCACACTCATTGCAATTGTTTGAGTTAAGAAGGTATTCACAATGTATATCGTAGGTTCTCGATGGTACTGTACTAATTCCTTCTGCTTTACACACAGATCCGCAGCCACCTTATATGGACTCCAATCCTTCCGCTTTGCCTGCAGATCCGCGGCGACGCCGCCATGCTCACCGCATTTGTTTGAGTTAAGAAGGTATTCACAATGTATATCGTAAGTTCTCGATGGTACTGTACTAATTCATTCTGCTTTACGCACAGATCCGCAGCCATCTTACACGAACTCTAATCCTTGCGCTTTGCGTGCAGATCCGCGGCGACGCCGCCAGGCTCACCGCATTTGTTTGAGTTAAGAAGGTATTCACAATGTATATTGTAAGTTCTCGATGGTACTGTACTAATTCCTTCTTCTTTACGCACATATCCGCAACCACCTTATATGGACTCCAATCCTTCCGCTTTGTGTGCAGATCTGCCATGACGCCGCTAAAATCGCTGCTCTTGATTTGTCAAGCGTTGGATTGTATTTGCCTACTCCTGTGTTTAGTCATGGTCAATTATATGTTGCAATTTCAAGAGTTAAGAGGAAAAGTGGGCTAAAAATCCTAATTCACGACAAGGAGAATGTACCGTGTTCTACTACTACTAATGTTGTGTACAAGGAAGTCTTTCAAGCACTTTGATAGTTGGTAAACTTTATATCTTATACTTTACGATTCAAATTAAAAATCTATTTTGAATTAAAATATATAGTATGTACATTTTCCATGTATTTCAAGAAGTATATAATTTTTCCTATTTGTTCATGTAGACGTGATTTGTTGATAGGACCGACGCTTGCTACAAATATGGAGTTAAATGCCAACATGGTTTACATGAGACATATACTCAACTGAAAACATGGTAACATACTTAATAATTTAATAATCTATAAATGTAATGTGAATCCAGACGAGACCCGTACGATAGTACGGGTTTGTTACTAGTTTTTATTAAAGATATCATTTGATTTCTTAGAGTCAAATCAAATGAAATAAATCTAAATGAAAAAAAATTGCTATAATTAAGTGACATTGAACAGTAGCATCAACTATTTAGGTGGATATGCATTATTTATTAGGAACCGAAAATATAATTTTGATTTTATACCGAAAATACATTTTCGATTTTACGTACGTACAATGTTTAATTAATCAGATTTTGGTGTGCATCGAAAATATACTTTCGATTTTAAGAAGTATTTAAGAAATTTCGTATAATAGATAAGAAAATTATGGGTGGAAGAAGAAATCCTCTTAAAAATACCGCCATAATCAAATTAAAAAAAGTAAATGAGTCAGAAAGAAACTTCTCGAACAAAATAGTCATTCAAAAAGATTTTTTAAAGGTCAATTTTAAATTATAGAAGAATCTCTAAAATTTATTGAAATTCCATAGAAATTTTTTCTTAAAAAATAGATAAACACTTTATTTTATTTCGTAACATTTTTCTGATATGAATCCAATTTTTATTTATTTTTTAATATTTATTCCTTAAAATTTAATTTAAAATTTTGAATGAAATTTACTTTAGGAATATTTTTATGTGTTCGTCCACGAGGCCAAAACGAAAGAATTAAAGACAATTCTGATTTCATGTTGAAACAAATACTCGTACCTACTTTTTTTTAAAATATTAAAAGAAAACCTTTATTACACACACTTTTCATTTTTCACACTTTACATTTTTTTGGTATAAATATTCTATTCAATTACCTTAATCTTAAAATAACTAAACATTTCCTAAAAAAGTATTCACTCTTGCCTCCTACCTGTCTGCCACTAGGTGAAAATATATGGGAGTGAATCCTCTCCCATGAGATTTTTGTCCAATGAAATCTCAAACCTTCACCTAAAATAAAAAAAGTATAAAAAATATAGAAAGATAGAAATTTAAGGGTGTGGATGATAACCCCTCCACCTCCAGTGAGAAATTAAAAGGGCATCAAACAACTTTATAAAAATAAAATATTGTAATATAGCACGTGTTATGTGTTAAACAGTAAAGAAACATAAGATTGTTCATTCTTCTTCATCATCATGGGGCCTATCTAGCTTCCTTTAAATATCCACCACTTGTTCCTTTGTCAAACCTCATCCAATTCCCTCTACATAATTTCCACTACACTATTCAATCATCTTCCATTCTTTTCTATTCATATTATCACCATGGAAGTTGGTCTAAGACTCCTTCCTCAAATTATCAGCTCAAAGAGTAACTCAAATATTCTTATCAAATCTGCAATGAAAAAGCCAAACCAAACCATCCCTATGGATTTTTGCTTCCTTAAAACTTGCAATATGTGTAATAAACAGCTTAGCCAAGACAAAGATATCTACATGTACAGGTATATATATTATATATATTGATTATTGACAACTCATGCTTATAGTTTATGATTTAGTTTTTTTTTGTACACATAAAAATATAGGTCTGAATGTCTGATATTGATATTGCTGGTAAAAATTATGCAGGGGAGATCAAGGTTTCTGCAGTATAGAGTGCCGGAACAAGCAAATAGTTTTGGATGACATGAAAGAATTTGAGATCTCTACTAAACGAATGGTAAAATCTTATAGGCAATGTTGTAATGAGGCACGCAGAGAGACAAGCCTTATTCTGAAGGATATTCGAATGCAAAGACTGAAATCTAAAGTATAAAAGTGCATTACTCAGAAGTAAGATGGCTTAAAAACGGAGCAAATTTTGTTGAGTCTGAGTTTGGATTGGTCAATTTATCAAATACATACATAAAATATATAATTATATATAGTTTTATCCAATTTAATAATTTATCATAATTCAATTATGAAAATATTATATACATTGTTAGTTTAGATTTACTAAAAATATTAGTCAGAAAAAATTAAAAGTTTTTATTGTTTTTTAAATATTATTGGCATTAATTTTAATGTTAAAACTTTTATTTTATATGATTAACCTGCAGTAATATAATATGTATTCGATTTTAGCTTAATGATTAAACGTCTTATACTTTGAAACATGATGTTATTAATTTCTATGAGATGGAGTTTTTTAAATTCACTATTTTTGAGGGGTGATGTGGCCCCTCCAGCTCCTTTAAAGATATGTCACTGTGGTTAACTGATCACTAATTAATCACTTTCTTTCTCTCCCATTTTTTTTATTTGCACCCCACTAGAATGAATTTATCAATCTTTGAGTCTCTTCTCCAAATAATTATTGGTAGAAGAAAAGAACCCATGCATTAGGTTGGAATAGATTGGGGTGCTAATAAAGATGCTACTTCCTGAATTTCAAAATTTCTTCTATATTCAATCTCACAAGTAATTGAAGATACCCTTTTTTAATTACGAATCATAGATGGTAAGTGTTTTCGTCTGGACCAAACCTAATCCACAAGAAATTGGGTAATTGAAATCTTTGGAGGTAAGACGGACTAAAAGATGAACCTACATAAAATACTAGCTGGGGCATCCTTCTATTATATATCTATTGGATATGATAGTTCATAGGATCTCAAAGACACGCTTGTCCCCCGAGACATTTGTCCTAAAGAAGTTTTTAGGGCATCCAGACCCTAAATCATAACTACGTGTACACCCTGAAATTTTTAGTGTCGGATTATAAGTTGTTAAAACCAGGAAAGATGAGTCGAATGTGCCAAATAATCCAAAAGATAACGACAACCGAGTTGTTACTCGCGAAACAAGAACGAGCCCAGGTCGACGTAAGGACTTGGTCATCGGGTCCTCGAAATCAAGTTCCCGGGCGATATGTATTTCCAGGGATCCGAGTTAAGAAACTGACATAACGATTATAGGATTAGTTCTATGGTTGCATGTGGACTTACGAAAATTAATAAAGAGGACGTTACATGGTAATATTGTGACGACGGACATTATAACCTCATTTAATCATAAGACTTGAAGAGTCAGTTCTTAATGACCTAAGGACATGTGATGGGGTATAAAAATAGTGTCCCCGCGAGGAAGAAGAAAAAGACATATCCATAGCACACAAGATTAGAATCAAAGAAATAACTCAATTCCCTTTGCGTTTGTGGTCTCGCCTGATTAACTTCAGAGAGATTATCCAAAAGTGTTTATCATAAATATTTGGTGCCCACCGTGGGGCCTCAGTAAAACTTTCTCAGGTTGCACACTATTAATCTTAAAATTTACAATTTCAGAATGTTTAGATCGTCACCTAACAGAAGTGATCCCCTACTCCCATTAGATATGACACACTTATTAGCGATCATGGAGGCTATGAGAAAACAGAATGAGTCTTTGAAGGATAGTGTACACACACTCCAGCAAACTCAGAGCTAGACGGAGGGGGATACAGAAGAGGAGTTGTTTGATCCTCAACCTCTTGTAGAAGTGATATGGGACGACCAGGTTCTAGACAACTTTAAACCACAACCCTTAGAATATTTCGATAGCAAGAGTGATCTGAATGAGCATATAATCTCAATTAACAATAAAATGGAAATCATTGGTGCTTCCGACTCTTTGAAGTGCAAGATCATGGAAGAAATGTTTAAGGATGTGGCCTTATGTTGGTACATGAGATTTCCCCGATTCTCAATCACGAGCTACCAAGATTTGATTAGGAAAATGGTACAACACTTTTCCGCCAACAAACACAGAAAGGTATCCATAACAAGCCTGTTCAACATCCACCAGGGGCCATATGAATCTCTCCGTGAATATATGGCACGATTCAATAAGGAAACAATCAAAGTTTCTCATCTGAATCAAGAGATGTTTGTGAGAGCATTCTAGAACATCATGAAGTCCGATCACTTTAATGAATCAATCTGGCTCTAAAGCTGACCACCAACATGGATGAGGTAATGAATAAAGTGGAATGTTACATCAAGGGCGATGAGAGAAACTTGGAGAAGAGATCATAAGATACCAAGGAAAAGTCATAACTTAGGCATGACATATCTGTGCCTAGAAAGAATCACCATAAGCCCAGACCGAGGGACAGGTCATCGGGAAAACCTTCATGGAGGCCGTACAAAAGCTACCTTCCCAATTTGACCCCACTTAATATAAAAAGAGCATATATTCTGCGCGAAGTATATCACCTCAAGTTGTTACCAGAACAAAGTCGCCATAATAGGGTTAACATTGTAATGGGAGCAGACCCGAGCGCATGGTGTGTCTACCATTGTTTGATAGGCCGTCATACAGAAGATTGTCATCAACTCAAAAGAGAAATCGAGATCCTGATCCAAAGAGGCGGGTTGTTGTCATATGTAAAAGTTGTCAGAGGAACAGCTGAAAAAGAAGTCCTTCTTAGAGAGAACCAAACCCAGAGAACCTGGCTACTAAGAAAGGTAAAAATGCCGAAGAGATGCGTGAAACAAGATTCCATATAATTTAGCTTGAAAGGAGGTGCAAACTTCAGCGTTAGTTGAGAAAGCAACTAAGAATGTTCCTAAATTATCCCTAAACATGTCACTTCAAATTGAAATTTCAGAATTTCCTCTTGAAGCTTCATCCGTGTTGCACTTAGTCCAATTTCTTCTCTTATCATATTCGATAGCAAGCATGATTCCATGTTATTCATATTGAAAGGAGATGCAAACTCCAATGTTAGCTGAGAAAGCTCCCAACAATGTTCCTAAATATGCCACCATAAGTTAATATTAAAGGATTTCCTCTCAAAGCATCATTTGTGTTTCACTAAATCCAATTATGACTAGGAAAATACCAATTGATTCGTATGACTCAAGATGTATGAGGAGGTCGACATTTAATGTCAAAACATTTAAAATTGTAAAATCTTGAATAAAAGAGTACATGTGCTCCTTACAAGAATTAGACGCTATATAAATCAATTGTTTAACATGAAGAATGTCTCTATAAAAATAAATTTTACCATTTTGAAATCTGATATCATTTCTTGTGCGCCCAGTTTTCCAAGGAATTATTATGATAAGATTCATGATCATATTCTAAATTTGAGAGTTGAAATTTTTATCAGCAAGTTTGAATAAGCTTTCGTAACCAGTTCTATCAATGTTCATAAAATAGGTCCATCCAATGCTATAAAAGTAAGGTATACTTGCATCTAAGAAATAAATGGTATACAATTTTCACATAATGATTGCACATAGAACATCTCAAAACCATATGCATTCCCCTTTCGAATTAGGTTGTCTTATATTGCAATAACGTTATGCATTAGCTTTCAAGTCACTAATGACTTAGCAGAAGGTATGTAGGGATTCCAAATAAATTTTATCCAAGAAGGTTGAATGTGATCTCTCATGATACAGTAGTAGGCATCTTTAAAAGATAGATAACCATTTGTAAATTATGTCTAAATAAGTTCATCAACAGTAGTATTATCAAATAAAAATTTGATCTTCAAAATGTCTTCAACAGTTTGAGGAGTCAAAATGGATAAGCCATGAGGAATGTTTCAATTGATGTCTTGGATAATTGGATTGACCTAGCAGTTTATATAAATTGAATATCTACTGGAAATACTAGGTGTAAATCTTTAATTTTTTATCCCAATAAATTTTCATTCAATAAATCAATGTTCTTTTCACCAACCTGCTATCTACTATGTTCCTTCGAAAAGGAAAATGAATGCTTAATGCTAGGTCATATGGAAGAAGAAATATGATGTATATGATTGATTTTTTTGTGCCTGAAATATATACTAATAAGCATAGAAGATCATTGACTATTGATACTCAATGACTTCTAATAAAGAGATAAGCAAACAACTTTGTTTATTGTCTTAAAATATATCCCATGCCAATACCTCCTTTAGACAAAGTGGTGAAATAACATTCTAAGATGTATTAATCAACTTTCTATTGCCTATGCTACTTGTCCACACAAATGTTTTGATATAAGAATCCAATTTGTTAAGAAAACTGATTTTCCATTCATAAATTCTTAGACGATACACAAGAATGTCTTGTATGACTGTCTGGACTAACTAAACCCTACTCATCATTAAAAGAATGTGGTCTTTCTAAGTAGTTAGCTTGATCAATATTGTATCTCTTATGATATTAAGATGGCGATTTCTAAATTTGATTTTAAATATAGGAACTCCAAAATAATTAAATAATGTATGTACTACCGTGAATCTAAACATGCCTGCAATGTGCCTTAGTCTAGAATGAGGACCATTTCTACCATAAAACTTACACTTAGTTAGACTTACGTGTTAACTTATGTGTCTCAAAATTTTAATAGAAAAATATCTTCTATGTTTTTTTATAATTGTTAAATTTAAATTTAATTTAGATTAAATATATTATTTATTCAATAAATTTTTTAAAAAATATTTTTAATAAAGAATGATAAAACTATTTAATAAAATATTTAAAAAAACAACAATTATTAATTTAATTGATTTTTTTTCTCCAATAATAAAAACCAGAAAATACTACATATAGAAAAACTAGAAAAATACTTATCAGTTATAGAAAATAAACTACAACTAAATTTCCTAAGTTAGCCTTTTATGTTTTTTTCTCATCATCACACGTTGCTATTTTAGAGGGTTGTTTTGAACATTTTTGTCTTATTGTTTCTAGAGATGGCAATGAATATTTATAGGGATTGATATTAGCTTTCCGCTATCTGTTCCGTTTAGTAAATATGATATATATATCCGCTCTATATTCTGTGTCA